CTCTTCAAAATATGTCAAAAATATGACCCTATTTCCACTGTTAAGCCAGGTCCACACAACAATAACAGATCTCCTTGCTTTTGCCCTATCTCCATTTAGTCTACTCTCAACATAATCCAATGCGATCAAATTAAAACATTAAGCCACATCATGTCACTTCTCTGTTCAACGTGAAATCCCTTACCTACAAAGTCTTAGGTGACATACTTATTGTCACCAATCTAATTCCATTTTCCACTATGCTCCCTGTTATGGTTTGGGTCTGGAATGTCTCCCAAAGCTCGTTTTGAAAATATGATCCCCAGTAAAGAAAGGTTCAGAGCCGGGGCTTTTAGGAAATGGTGGATCATGAGGCCTATAACCTCATCAGTGGATTAATCTATTTGATGGATTAGTAATTTGAAAACTACTGGGTGGTAATTGTTGGCAGGTGGGGCATGGCTGGAAAAGTAGATCACTGCGGTGTATCTTTAAAAAAATTTTTTAGATGCTGATGAACTTTTATTTTATTCACTTATTTATATGCCATGCTGAGAACTGAACACAGTGCCTCACACATGCCAGGCAAGTGCTCTGCCACTGAGCCACGACCCCAGCCCTATGGTATATCTTTGAGGATTTATGTCTTGTCTCTGGCTTCTCTGTCTCCACATGCTTCTAGGCTGCCAAGAGCTGAGCAGATTTCCCTACCATGCTTTTCCGCCATGATGTTTCTGCCTTGGAGCCTGCTGACCATAGAATGAACCTCTGAAACTGTGAGCCAAAAGAAATCTTTCCTCAAGTTGTATTTTGGTCACAGATACAGAAAAGCTAATACCTCCCTGCCTCTGTTAGGCTGCTCAGACCCTCTTACCATTCCTCCAGTATGTTAGAAACAGGACCATTTGTGGTGGTTTCACATTTGCTTTTTTTCCTGCAATGGAATACTTTTTGTCCAGAAAGCTGAATGGCCAATTACATCACATTGTCACTTAACACCGCCGCCATCATTTTCTCAGGAGCTGTCTGTGGTCATTCTGTCATCCTTTCTAAAAGCCCTCGATTTTATTTTCACCTCAGCTTTATCACTATCTAACATACAGCATGTTTTGCTTGTTTCTTTCTTCTTATTGTCTCTCTTCCTCAGAGATAGAGACTTTTGTCTGTTTTATTGTTATGTCCTAAGAATCCAGAACAGTGCCTTGCATAGTGAGTGCTCAATAAATATTTGTTATTGAACTGTAGAAGATCTGTACCAAGCAAAGCATAATATCATGCAAAGATGGAGACAGACACTAGATAAAATGTTTGGTAATGGCAAAACAAAATTTGACCATCCATCTTCTTAACCTTGTGTAATAAACTCCGTGCCTTTTGTTTTGATGTATTCTACCTTTCTTGCCAAATGCTTTAAATGTTAAAAAAAAAAAAATCTTCATTAGTAAAGCCTTAATTTGGTCATTAGGGAATGAATTCCATCTTATTTTCCAAATGTTATCTTGTGCACTTTACTAAGTTATAGAGAACAAAACAGGTAGGGTCTATTATTTTAGATAGAAAATTCCAAGTCCTAGCCGTTGGTGCTCAAAGTACTCAAA